TCCTGTGTGAGTTCACACCTCGACTTCCCTCAGTGATGGACCGGTGCCTGGAAGTGTAAGCGGAACAAACCCTGTCCTCCCGCATTGGTTTGTTGGTTTGTTGGTTTGTTTGTTTTGGTCGTGGTCAAAACTGTAACTAAGACAGAAATTGATCTGGAAGGAGTGGGACCCTGAACCGTGCTGAGTGCCATGCTGGGGTTGAACTCAGCGTCTTGAGCATGCTTAGCAAGCACTGTGTCTCTTAGCGACATCACCAACCTCAGACCTAGACCTGAGACATCTCAAATGAATCAAAGTCCAAATGAAACAACTACTGATCAATCCCTAGTAGTTCCTGGGGGAACATCTGCCCCCCATTGTAGGTCAGTTATGATAGCAGGGGATCCGCTTGTAAGGCGGGCCCCCAAGAGGCTCCTTACTATGTGTGGTGGTTTGAAAGAAAATTGCCCCCAAAGGGAGTGGCACTATTAGGAGGTGTGGTGTTGTTGGAGGGAAGTGTGTCACTGTGGAGGCAGGCTTTGAGGTCTCATATATGCTCAAACCATGCCCAGTGAGACAGTTCACTTCCTGTTGCCTGTCTGCACACTGCCACGTTTCCCCACCATGATGATAATGGACTAAACCTCTGAAACTGTAAGCCACCACCAGTTAAACATTTTCCTTTATAAGAGGTGCCAGGGTCATGGTGTCTCTTCACAACAATAGACACCCTAACCAAGACACTCTGGGAGGTGACTTGCCCTTTGGTGTCAGGATAATAGCTCTCTTCTGCGTGAAAACTTACTACAGTAAACTGGTGTACGGCTATAATTCCTGCATTAGGGAGATAGCAGCAGGGGAAATGGGGGTTCAGGGTCATCCGCAGACACAGTTTGAGACCAGCCTGCACTATGAGACTTTGTCTCAAGAAGCAAAACTTCACCTGAGGCCAGTACCTTAAAGGGTACCTGCCCCGGACCCATAATAGCATAGCTCTGTTGCTGCTAGGCCCCTAAGCAACCCCAAATCTTAGAATGTGGGGGGAGGGAGTGCTCTGTAACTAAGAGGCAATCGCTAAGGCGCCAGAAGAATCAGAACTGTGCTGGTAGACACTCGTCACAACCCAGGGAGTGTGTGTGAAATGGATTCTGAAATTCTGCGTGAGCATTCCCTCACTGTAGCAAATGCAGGTTAGAAGCAGGAAAGCTGACTCGTGTTTGGTTTTGGTTCACAGCCTTTGAGGCTGCAGCCCGTAGTTGACCCTGCTGCTCCTGGGCCTCTGCCCTGCAGCCCACCCTGGTGGGTGGCGTGTTGTGAGCCACCGCACGGGTCCCCTGCACCAGCACCAAGTCCTTACCTGCAGAGCTTGTGCAGATTGCTGATGTTGAGACAAGGTCTCACTGTAGCTCTGGCAGCTTCAAACCAGGCTGGCCTCGAACTCATGGAGATCCGCCTGCCTCTGCCTCCCGAGTGCTGGGATTAAAGGGGTGTGTGCTGCCGTGTCCAGCTAACAAAACAAATGTTTTTTAAAAAATTTTTAAATCTGCGTATGGTAATGCACGCCTTTGGTCCCAGCACTGAGGAGGCAGAGGCAGGTGGATCTCTGAGTTTGAGGCCAGCCTGGGCTATGTAGTGAGACCTTTTTCTCAGTACTGGGGTTGAATACATGGCCTCACAGGCTAGACAAGCGCTCTATGACTGAGCTGCGTCCTCAGCCCAACAGTATCGCCTTCTTTTGATAGTTTTCTGTCTAGTGTGAGAATATGTGGAATGCGTGTGAAGAGGAACCTTGTACCCGTACTGCCGGCTGCTCTGGGAGGGAGGGACCTGCAACAGTGCTCTGGGGACTGTGTTCTGAAGAGCAGCAAACACCCAGGCCTTGGGCACGATGGACACTGGCTCTGGGTAATGCACGTGCGCGCATGTGTGTGTGTGTGTGTGAGTGTGTGTGCACGCAAGAGGGTGCCCGAGTATGCATGTGTGTCCACGTATGTGTAGAAGCCAGAGATCCATGTCAGGTGTCTTCTTCAATTGCTTCTCCATCCTTACATGTTTTGTTTCTATGAGTGTACATGACTTGTGTGGATGTGGATGTGCCACAGTGCACTGTGGATGTGAGAGAACAACTAGGTGGAGTTGGTTCTCCCGGCCATCTTTATGTGTGTTCTGGGAATCAGACTCAGGTTTTCAGACTTGTGTAGCAAGTGTCTTCATCCACGGAGCAATCTCTCAGCCTTTGGCTTGTTTTTGTTTTTGTTTTTTTAAGACAGGGTTTCTCGCCGGGCGGTGGTGGCGCACGCCTTTAATCCCAGCACTTGGGAGGCAGAGGCAGGCGGATCTCTGTGAGTTCGAGGCCAGCCTGGTCTCCAAAGCG